GGATGCCGCCCATCCATGGGTTTTGGGGGGTTTCTTCCAGGGAGAGTGGTTCGCAGGGTCATGGCCCCGTCAATTCCTACCTCAACCAAGTTCTCACTAAATCCAGCCTATCACCCATATCATACCCGGGGCATTCCTTCAGGATAGGTGCAGCCACCTCTGCTGCTAATCAAGGTCTCTCTACCTCATCCCTACAACAACTAGGACGGTGGTCCTCCTCCACCTTCACAACCTTCATTCGTCCGGACATCAGCGCCGTACGGGCTCCCCAAAGATCTCTCAGACCCTAACTATGGTAGTTATACATATAACTGGTGGTGGCTCAAACACATTCACAAGTATACATGTCTCACTAAGGTTCCCGATATTCAAAACTGCATTCCTGTCTTAATTCCGCGGGCCCCGCCCACAGGGAATAATGTCTCGTCTCACGCCGCAACTACAGGTAACGGGCTTCATCTCCGGCACACAGGTATTTCATTCCCAGGCCTTGCTCAAACGCATCAGTGTAAAATGTATTTCCTGCAGTCCGCGTGGACTCGGGCCACCGTACACTCCGGTGTCAGTTACAAAACAAAGGAAATAAAGAAAGAGTAAATATATATATATATATATATATATATATATATATATATAGCCTGCGAAGTCAGGCGTGGCGGAAGGCCACCGTACACTTCGGTGCCAGTTACAAAACAAAGGAAAATAAATGAAGAGTAAAGAAAAAAAAATATATATATATATATATAGCCTGCGAAGTCAGGCGTGGCGGAAGGCCACCGTACACTTCGGTGTCGTAGCGGAAGGCTACCGTACACTTCGGTGTCAGTTACAAAACAAAGAGTAAAGAAAAAAGATACATATATATATATATATATATATAGCCTGCGAAGTCAGGCGTGGCGGAAGGCCACCGTACACTTCGGTGACGTAGCAGAAGGCTACCGTACACTTCGGTGTCAGTTACAAAACAAAGGAAAGAGTAAAGAAAAGATATATATATATATATATATATATAACCTGCGAAGTCAGGCGTGGCGGAAGGCCACCGTACACTTCGGTGTCGTAGCGGAAGGCTACCGTACACTTCGGTGTCAGTAACAAAACAAGGAAAGAGTAAAGAAAAGATATATATATATATATATATATATATAACCTGCGAAGTCAGGCGTGGCGGAAGGCCACCGTACACTTCGGTGTCAGTTACAAAACAAAGGAAAAAGAATAAAGAGAAATATATATATATATATATATATATATAGCCTGCGAAGTCAGGCTATATATATATATATATAGCCTGCGAAGTCAGGCGTGGCGGAAGGCCACCGTACACTTCGGTGTCGTAGCGGAAGGCTACCGTACACTTCGGTGTCGTGGACGTTGGGCCACCGTTACAAAACGAAACCGCTCGCTCCTCGGCGTAGTCAAGCCCTGCTGGCCAGGCATGCGACCCGCAGGTCGTTTTCAGATAAGACCGGCACTGATTTCGGCAGTCAGAGTCTCAGCATGACCAGTAAGCTCCGGCAGTGATTCCGGCACAGTGTCGCTCATATACGTGTTAATCTATTATCTCTCCTCCCCAGATCACCAGTCACCCCACAAGGTAAGCAACTCAGTTCATCTCAGTATTCATACTTCACTGGTTTTGGGGATTTCATCGGAGCGGTGCTTTCCCTCCTGAATGATTATCCTGCAAACCGGGGGCCTAATCGCCAAACACCATTACATTCTCCTGTTGTACTATCATGGCAATCATTTCATTCATATGACGTGTAAACAATAAATATGTAATTCTTACATCACGTCTCTCCGGTTTGAAATGAAAGCTTTAGCGCAAGTTCAATAAGGAAGACCTAACTCGAGTCACTCACACGTCACTCTATGGCTCCCTTCCCCCCTCATTAAATATGAGGGCGTCACGCCTCAGCAGCCAATCGCTGCACATGCCAAATGCCTTAAATACCTGCTCTTCCTCCCTGTCAGTTGTCATTGCAGATGATCACACGCAACCCGCCTCCACCCCTCTCGCCTCCCGTCTCCTTCAGGACAAAGCTAAACCTTCCTCCTTCAGACTGGTCTCACCTACTCATCACCACCACCAGTGTCTAGACCCCGGGGATTTCATCGGAGCGGTGCTTTCCCTCCTGAATGATTATCCTGCAAACCGGGGGCCTAATCGCCAAACACCATTACATTCTCCTGTTGTACTATCATGGCAATCATTTCATTCATATGACGTGTAAACAATAAATATGTAATTCTTACATCACGTCTCTCCGGTTTGAACTGTCAGTGTTCGACATGAAGCTAGAAGCTACCTTACATTACACAGTTGATCCGGAGTCCTGTCAGTGAAAGTGTTTCATAGTTAGCTTAGCTAAGCATCAACCTAGCACTGACATATATGGATGTTATGTGACGGTATTTCTGAGGAAAAGTCAGCTGAAATGGTGGCATAGTTGCCACTGCTTTACGTGTCAACAGCATGTTTGAACGTATTTGCAGCAGTAAATGTGGCTGTTTGGCCACTGACGTTGCCATAACAACACCTGAATTTAAATGTGCAACCTCTTTTTGTGACAGATTTTTGCATGAAATTATAATTCTTCTGATTGATATTCCTATTGACAGCTAGTTTCTATGTGTACATTATGAGATGGACAGCCAGCTAACAAGCTTTCAGATCAAAGCCAATCCAGTGGGGCTCCTGAAAGGGGGCAAGGGACACTATGCTCCCAAATATTAAGCCTTGACCCCCATCTTAAAATTGATATGATCACAAAATGATCTGCATTGTCGGAGGCCTTTTTTCCTCATTATCCTGTCAAATTGTACAGCTTTCCTTAGTTTTGAATGCAGAAAGATGACTATATTAGAGTATCAAGTGAAAATGACTATATTAAAGTATGAAGTGAATATATTAAGTGAATTACTCAAACTGCATTTGTATAGGAATGATTATGTCCTATTGGCAGATAACTACTCTAACAGTGATATCTACAAGAGATGTACATTTAACTATTTTCAATTGGTTAGTATTAAATTTTGTGACAGTGTGGTGACACTCATTTTAATGAAGACAAATTTGTGTATCTTGAAATTCATTTATTTGACGGAGCTGGAAACTGATTGACTTACATACTTGTTTGTAATTACCTACACAGTCATCACAGATGAGCCAAACAGAGTAGAGGATGAAGAAAGGAGAACAGGAGAAAGGGACACACAAGAAGGAGAAACAACAGACAAGAACGACAATGGAGACAACAATGAACAGGAACACCAGAACAGACAAGAGTCAATGGGTAACATGACTGATTTAGGGACTGCAGATACAGGGCCAAGGCAAGTGAGACATCACTGCTTTCCATCCAGCATGTTTGGCCAGCAAAAGAGATCATTTCAACCGCAAACAGCAAGTGATGAAGGATTATTATTTCCTCCTTCCATCCCTTTTTTCTGTTTAATCTGATTACTAACAACTTCTAATAATTTGACATAGTTTATGATTTAATTGGAAAATAAAGTGTTTTTAAATAATAAACCCGTTTCTGATTCTGATTCTTTGATTTTTGTTGACATATGGGTGTTGAGAGATGTATCCATATCTCTTAATGTTGCTCTCAAAGTGCACAAGATTGATGCTTTTAACTTCAACATTTAAAAAAATTCTTCCTGGGGGACCCCAGAGGAGGTGAGTTCCCTCAAAATAGCACTTTATCTCTGCTTATGTAACTCCGGTGTAGTGTCCCCTCGGCAACAGATCACTCGGAGCTGGTGATTACTTTCCTGCATTTCAATGGACAGCATAAAAGGACACGTGAGCTGGGGTCTGGTGCTCAGATTAGCTATTGATGATCACGTTGATAAATCATATAAAACCAATCACACAAAAACATGTTGCTGTGACTGTGAGCATTAAACAATTAACATTAAACTAAACAAACACAACAGTACGTTATTGTCCTTATAAAATAAAAACATACATTTTGTCCACCGAGATAATACAGGCACCTTACCCTCAAGAAATCCTCACGTGCTATGAGAATCTCCCACAATCCATTGCCGTAACAAAGCTAATGCAGACACACGTTTGTGACACCAGATGGCGCAATTGTGTATGTGCGTGTGGGGAGCAGTGGCGGTTCTAGACCAATTTGACTGGGGGGGGGGCAGTTATTTTCTGAGGGGGGCACAATAAATGCAGGACGAAAAAGAGAACTAGACAGTATGAAGTAATTGCGCATAAGAAAACAATGCAATACAGTTATTGGTATTTGTTTCAGTACACTTATTTATTTCAGATAGATCTTATAGTTATTACTGTTAGCTTCAGCTTAAGTTATAATGCAATGTTTGCACTAACACTATATTTATATAAAAATAAAGGCAATGAACAGTTACATCTCTACTTTACATAAGGGTGTCTGCACAATCTCACATTACAGCAACAAAATCCTGCGGTTTTTGGCAAACCGAGTACCAGAAAATATACATTTAAGACAAAAAAAAAAAAGACTTTTCATTGTTAGGGGGGCTACAGGGGGTCAGAGGTCAGTGTTAGGGGGGCACCGGCCCCCCTAGAACCGCCCCTGGTGGGGAGTCTTGCAGTAGAAAATTCGACTGTAGCGCCGCCACTGTGGGCTAAGCCCCGAATGTTTCCAGGTCCAGGCAACGCCCCTGGTCCTGATAAGGATAATAATGTTCCTGTATTTGTTTATCAATGTAGGCTCTAAAAGCAAACCTTCACCCACAGTCTGAGAAGCTTCTGATGCGTTCACTCTCACAACACACAGGTGCACACCTTAAAATACCACACTATCTCAAAACAGCACCTAACCAACATCCTGACATCAAATGTGTTTTGCATTTTTTGCTCACTTCAGTGTGAATCCTTGCATGAACTCCACACACCTCTGAGCCGTGCTGCCTTCAGGAGCCATGTGTTTAATGCTTCGCGGCTGTTTTCCCCGCAGACGACGCAGAACAAAAGGTAAGAAACACATTTGACAACACAGCATTTTTCAGATTTAAAGTTACTAACAGTGTTTATGGATGACAGATGGTACCAGGAAGGACATTTACATCTGCCAATCTGTTGGCTGTGGCAGATCAAATTCAGCTAACCTGCCGCCATAGCAGACAGGTTTTTCTCACAATTAGGAAATATTATTCAAAGAGAAATAGTCAGAGTTAAGGTTACATTTTATTTTGGATATATTTACTGTCTGGTACCACATACTCAAGTGGCAACATGCGGTTTCAACAACTTGCAATTAAAAGTGCTTTACAAAAAACATTACAAAAAACCTTAAGACAGAGACGGATTGCCTTTGTTTATAATCGGCTTTACGATTTATAGCCATCAGTCACTGGAATATGCTTCCAACTGAGCTAAACACACACTTCCACTTTTTTTTAAAAAACTTTTTTTTGTTCTTTTTTATAAACAAACAACCTAACAGACAGCACAATAGCAGTTGGCAAACAAGTAGGATGACAACAGTGCGATTTGAGTCCGACAGGACAAAAAACAAAACAAAAATAAATAAAACAAAACAAAAAAGGACTGAGACAGGACAAATAAAACAACAACAAAATCAAAAACTAAAGGCTCTGAGTCTAAGTCCATTATTAATAAGGCAAATAAAGTACAAATCAAACAATGTGTATAAATGGAACAAAAAGACCAAACATATCAAATAAAAACACAACACTTGTTGGTCAGTCAGTCACCCACTAATCACAGTTTAACACCGGAGGTCTACTACCCTATTGTACAGAGACATCCGGCATGTCCAGCTCCCGTATATACCTGTAGAATGGGCTCCACATCTTGTGGAATTTCCCCAGGGAGCCCCTCACTATGCACCTTATTTTCTCGAGTTTGGCTGAATTTAGGACTTCTTTTAACCACAAGGTGTGCGAAGGGGGTATTGGACACATGAGCAATATCAGGCGTCTGGCTAGAAAAGTAACAAAGGCTATGTAGGTTGTCTCCAGAGAAGAGAGTGGCCATGTGGGTGGGGTTACACCAAACAGTGCGGTCATGGCATAAGGAGCGATCGGTTTTCCAGTGATTTCTGACAGTGATCTAAAGATTTCAGTCCAATAAGAGTGTAAGACCGGACAAGACCAGAACATGTGTGCATGACTCGCCAGTGCTTGGCTGCATCTGTCACAAGTTGGGTCCACCTCCTTATATATTTCAGAGAGCCTGAGCTTAGTAAAGTGTGTGCAATGCACAACTTGGCACTGAATCAGTCCATGTCTAGCACAAATAGAAGATTTATGTACATTAGCAAGGGCTTTTTCCCAGAGTTCCTCAGAAATCTCCTCCCCAAGATCTATTTCCCAAAGAGATTTAATGGAGTTCAGGGTAACCAAACGAAGAGAATAAATCTGAGCGTAAATACAGATCATCATTCCCTTCAGACTAGGTAACCTAGGCCTAAGGAGTGTGTCTAGTGGTGAATCAGTTGGGTGATTAGGAAACTGAGGAAATCTATTATTAACAAAACTGCGAATCTGTAGATACCTGAAGAAATGTTGCCTAGGTAGTGCACATTTGTCAGATGGCTGTTGGAAATAAGCAAATGTGTTGTGAATATAAAGGTCTTTGAATGTTTTAATGCCTTGGTTAGACCAAATAGTAAATGTGCCATCTACTAAGGATGGAGGAAAAACATGGTTTGTAGTTAAAGGGGCTAATATAGAGTATGTTTGGAGACCAAAGAAACGTCTGAACTGATTCCAAATTTTCAAGGATGCTTTGACAATTACATGTTTAGTGTAAGCAGAGGAGGGGGTCTTAATGGGAGAGTGAGCCAATGCTGAAAGAGATACTGGACTACAGGAAGCAGCCTCCATTTCAAGCCAAACAGGCTGAGAGCGCTGTGAGTCAGACTGCAGCCAGGACTGTATTATTCTCAGATTAGTAGCCCAATAATAGAACCTCAAATTCGGCAGAGCAAGTCCACCCAGCGCCTTTGGTCTCTGTAAAAATTGCTTGCGTATCCTTGGAGTTTTCTTGTTCCAAATAAAGTTCAAAATAATAGTGTCAGTTTTCCGAAAAAACATTTGAGGGAGGAAAATGGTCACACATTGAAATAAATATAGAAATTTGGGGAGTATATTCATCTTGATATAATTAATTCGGGCAACCAGAGACAGATTCAACACTGACCAGCGGTCGATGTCTTCCTGTACGCGGGACAAAAGGGGGGCAAAATTAGCTTTATAAAGGTCTTTAAATGTATCAGTCACCTGGATCCCGAGGTATGTGAAGCTGTGTAGTGCAGTACACACTTCCACTCTTTACAAATAATTATAAAGTTGTACTGATAAATGTGCTTGAATGTATGTTTGTCTGTTTGTATAACTGTAAGCTTCCTCTGTAAAATATCCATAAGACTTACTATTGCTTTCTGTTTATAATGTTCAACCTAAAATGGAGAAAAGGGCTAGCCAGAGGAAGTTGCAAAAGACCAGTCTTATTTCGGTAGATGTATACTGTGATCTGTAATGTTTACCAGCTGCGGCACTTGGTTTGGTTTCAGCCTGTGAGTCTGTGATGTGTCATCATGAATAAATAACCCTTGAAACATTCGTTGTAACAAGAACTAAAGTACAGATAAGGTTTTAGTCATGCGATTTTGTCAATGCAAAAGCGTCACAACGGTGAAAGATGCAGTCACAAAACGTTCCAGATGTGTAGTCAAGATCAAAGTGAAGGGGAGTTCGGAGATGGGTCTGCTATGAGCAGAACAAAAGGAAATGAACCACAACACAAATAGTTACTTTTAGATGCAAATCCTTAAATGCATGTAAAAAAGACTTTGGTTTAGTATGAATGAGGGTAATGCAAAAGTCAGTGGTGTAAAGTGCAAATCTAGCAAGATGTTATTTATTTCACATAAGTAGCTTTTGTTGAGGTTTTCGAAGAAAGCGTTGAATGTTTACCTTCATATTTCTTCACCACAAACACTGTATGATGTGTAATTTCCTTACATACAAAGTCTTATAGTATTTTGCAATCTGGTCAATGATGGTGTTGTCTTGTTGTCCATTACAAATTACAGCACTGGAGTAACAGTACTAGTGATGTTTTTTATTGTATTATGTTGGTCTGTGCACATGACACTACAGTATATTGCACATAATTACATCCAGGGAGAGTTATCTCCAGTCCATCTAACACAACACTAATTGTATTAGACCTAAAACAAAACAAATGTTGTTAGATGAATGAATAATGTGCTTTTTCTTTGCCTGGAAGTGTGTTTCCATCAGTCGAGACCATTCGTCTTGTTTCTTAACTTGTTGCCAGAGGGAAAAGTAAGGACATCACCAGCGTGGGTTTATCCTGTCTCTAGAACATTTAATAATGTTAAGTCCTTTAAATCGTCGGGGAATTTCACTCTTAACCAAACAAAAGTGGCCAGCATTTCCTCAGCTCATCATGTGTTTAAAAAAAGACCAGCTGTGTGTGTGTGTTTCTGAGGGGGGGGGGTTTCCATAGCTCGATCAAGCAGGAGGAGCCTGCTGCTGTAGCTTTTAAAAGACTCACAGCAGCTGAATGGCATCAACAGAGAAGCACTGTAAGATAAGGGTGAGTAGCGTCTGTTGAAGGAAATGACTAACACACTACAAAATATCTTGCTAATGTAGCAAAAAAACTGCTAAAATTGTTGTTAGCTTTTTAACTAGTTTGGTTCGACCGTTATTTTTTATATCAACAAACGTTTGATTATTTACTTTTTGTCTCCATGTATGTTTTCAGAGTGTTTTTCTGGCTGCTGGCACCGTATCTGTTCCAGGAAAACGATGAGGACTGACACATGCGGCATTAGGAACTTCCTCCCCCGTAAAAAGTGGTTCGGGTTCGGCACCAGAAATCAACCACAACCCCCGGCTGTCAACAACAACACCTCCAGCCTGACGGATGGATCCCCCTTACCCCAACAGGAGGAGCCCCAACCCGGTCAGTTTAATACATAAAACAGCACAAGCTAATGTGGCAATAATCATCATTTCGTTATTAACTTAACATTTTTGGGTGGTGGGACTCACCTCTCCTCTATCATGTGCATACCAAGCAAAACATTGTATATTTAGTTTAGTTGTGGTGATTTTTTATTATTATGATACACTGAAGGACTAAGTATTTGGATAGGCTGGAAAATGCATAGTCACAGAACTGAAATTAGGGCTGCTTTCATGTTTTCTCATAAAAAGATATGAAAGTTTTGCACGAGATGAAATACCAGAATAATAGCACAACTTTAATGATCCATAGACTAGAGGAACCATTTATCATGCACATTTATACAGCAGTAATATTAAACAAAAAAATGATATATAATAGTAAAACACAACAAGACTTTCTCATACTTTAGTTACATGTTTCTGATCAGTCTCACATACTTTAACTTAAGTAATTATAAATACAGGACTTTTTCTGGGGAATGTTTTACTGCGACGGTAGTAGGATGGTATTATTTACTGCGACTTTTCTTCCCCTTAGTGATCCTCACATATGAGCAGATGTTCCAGGAAAAACTATTGTCTGAAGCCGGCCAGCTGCTGATAGAAAAAGAGGAGCGTCTGTTTAGAGAGTTAAAGGAGTCAGATGCTTTTACACATCATGAGGAACAAGTAAACCAACTGAAGGCAGACCGCAAGGCCCTGCAAGACCTTGTACTGCAGACTCTGGGACAATCTCTTTGTCTGGAAGAGGACAGCTTGGCGGGTCTGACGTCTGCCGTGAAGGCCGTGATGCAGGAGGAGGACCAGGACTTGCTGTGGAAACAAAGGGATCAGACACCTCCGTCTTGGAGGCCCAGTGGATGGAGAAAGCTGCACGACTCCACACTCCTCAGCTTGGTGAAAGAACGTATGGAAAACCCTTCAACACCCTCTGCTTGCCAGATCAAACTGACTACTATCCAGGCAGACATCACCAACATGGGCAGGCAGCTGAAAGAGGATCTGCTGTCTGTGGTGGGCGGTGTGAAGAGATGCTACCCACAAGAGATGGACATTTGCAATTTTTACTCCAAGTTATACCACCAAACCTTAAGCGCCAGTCTTATGAACATCGCAGACTTTGGTCTGGTGGACAAGGATCGCACTTTCCTCCTGCGCTGGGTGAACGAGTATTATCCAGAGTAAGTCATGGCTTCAATTGTTTGAATAAAACTCCATGATATTGTGTTTTTGTGTTGGTACTGTCACGGTTATCAAGTTTGAGTATTTTCATTTTAAGGGTATTTGAGAATTAAACTTGTAGTTTTGACTCCCAAAAGTCTTTACGTTTAAGGGGTACAAAAAGTAATAAACACAGAGTCCGAAGGGAACGTAGTTATAATCAGAGAAAACATTTTTGATTTAAAAGTGGTCCAAGAAAAGACCCACAAATAATTGAGAACTCTTATATCATTTAGTATGAATCAGTTGCAGGAGTTGCGCAAATCTCAGATTAGGTTTTGTTATACAGTTTTCATTGAGTCACTTCTACACAGTCATACCCTGAAGTTTCCAAACTATTAACCCACATGTCTTTTACTGAAAAAACACTGCCTGTTCTTGTTTTGAAATTAAGAAAATGAAGTCAATATTATGAGAAAAAACTGTTAAAAATGCACAGAAATCCAAACCTTGATGCTCAAGATGTCTCGAGGGGTTAATGAAGGCGTGTGGTGGAGTGGGTTGTGTGTTGGTGTTCGGATCAGGGGGTCGCAGGTTCAAACCCCATGCAGTCAGCATGTCGTTGTGTCCCTGGGCAACACACTTCACCCCAAATTGCTCCTGTGGGGATTGCCCACAGTATTGAGTATGTAAGTCGCTTTGGATAAAAGCGTCTAACAAGTAACATGTAATGAAAGTTGTGATGTTTGGTGTCTGTTTCAGAATCCTTGCAAAGCCACAGCTACACAGCGAGATCGATAGTGGGCCGTTGGGAAAGCTGCTGCCTGAAAGGTTACTGAAATCGCTCGAGGATGAATACCTGAGCAACCAACAGGTGACCTGAGCTGCTGTTTTTGTTGTAGTTTGGTTAGTTTTATTAAAGTGTTATCTTTATTTTACTGTGTAGAAAAGACTGTTTCAGCTTCATGTTGTTGTGTTTTCAGGGTGAGCTGACTACAATAATCTGCCGGGTGCTGGGTGAAGAAAGGGAAAAGTGGAATAAAGGAGAGGAGCCGGAAACAGAGGACGGCTGCTTCTTTAGTCCTGTGGCATACGACATAATTCAGGTACAATTAAACAGTTTTTCAGAGAACAAGCTTTGAGGCGGTAAAAACCGCTAGTCCCGTAGTAGTAGGTGGAGACCAAAATCAGATCAACAAACAGAGTGAATATTGGACACAAACTCCTAAACATTTTTTTGTATCTTAATGAGGGATCATGTTGCTCTGAATCTGTCAATGTTGAAATTGGAATGCTAACAAGTGTGTCAACTTATATAGTTGATAATATGTCAAATGTGAGCTAGCAGATTGATTTGGCTGCTCTCTGGTGGCTGAAAACAATACGTTGTTATAACGGTATCAATATAAAAAGCTTCTATCTTCTGTTATGTGGATTTGACAAGAAGTTTGAAATAGGTGTTTGCCATGCATCATGTCATGCGCTTCTTTTGAGCATAAGAGAACAAAATGTAAAAATATAATATTCAACCATATCCTCTGTTCTGCCGTTTAGACCTTGAAGAAGTTGTAGCTTGTCAGAGTACTTTACAACATAAAGTTTTCCCAGGCAGTTTTACATATTGACCAAACTGGAGAAAAACAAACAGTTTTAGAAAAAGATTAACAGTGAGTCAGGGTCTAAGTTATTTATAGAAAGTCCACTCAGTCCAGTTTTTAGTTGGTTTGACTGTTTGGGAGAATTAGGCTGTTGTTGTTTTTTAACGTTTGTCATTAACCTGAATCCTCCATCTGTGTTTAGCTCATCAACGGTAAGGTGACTTCATCTACAAAGGTTTTGGGAGATCCGCACAAGGCCCAGAGAATAACGTGCCATATATCAAAAGATTTAATGGACCGGTAACAAGACTGATGATTATCTTCAAAATATTTTGTTTACAAAAGCTTTTTTATCTTGTGTTTGATAAGCACAACAATAACGAAGTGAAAGTAAAATGTTTTTTTTATAACCTGTGCAGTTACAAGAGCTTCCAAAGTGACGTCATAAAGCAGAACAAGGCAAACAGCAGGTCGTTCATCAAGGCCAACCTCGACTGTATCAAACAGTTCAGGTACGTTTCTGACATTCACGCATTGTAGCGTAGCCTTCATGCTATCACAATAGAAATGTAAGCTAATGTGACTTATTTGCTCTCTCTGCAGTGAAGTCCTCAATAAGGAGAGACATCTGTTCACAGAAGATGTGAGGAAGAACTGTTTGCGTGTTCTGACTGACATGAAACAATCTGCCCACACATACTTATTACAACCTTTGCACGAGCGCCTCAAGGTAAGATTCTTTATTATTGTCAACAAATATTGTGGGAAAAAAACAAATCAACAATGCATGTTCAACGTACACATATGGCCTGTGTACTAAAGCCTGAATTATCATCCTTCCTATAGAGCCATAATGTTGGTCTAAAAGCACGGTGACAATGCCACATCCACAACATATTTTGTTCATTACCCAAACACACATGTCATAGTTTAGTTTGACAAAGGGAACCAACTTATGCACTATTTCCTCGTATTAGATTGTTAAACCTTCTATTTTAGGTGACTTTTAATGATTTATGCATCCAATGGGCTTGGGGTTATTGCAATGGAAAAGTTATAGATGGGCTAACATATATTTTGGCACCAAACATAGGAGTTGAAATCCTATCCTCCTGTAACTGTATTCTCTGCCACTGTGCATGGAAGTGTTTCCTTTCTAATGCGTCATGGTTGGTCCCACACAGCCGCAGTACCGCAAACTGGGAACCAGCGACTGGCTGCACCAGAGTGAGTTTAAGGAGCTGCTGGACGGCATCAACAAAGAGGGTCAAGATCTTCAGGGTTCAACTGAATCCTGTCACAAGGTAGACTGAAGAAAGCATGAAACACACATTTCAATTCATGTAGACTTTAGATTTATAAACATTGTGCAAAGTATGCTATAGTTTAGATGGACATCAGTTGTGTTTAGAGCCATGGATTAAACTACTGAAACACGTTTTCAAAGTCAACACACTGATTTTCAAGCTGTAAAGAAATGAATTAAAGCCATTAGTGTATCAATGGTATGGTTCTTAAAACTCACCCAAAATGAACTGCTTGGTTCTTTATGAAGGTAAATGTAATTACATTTTAGGCAGAAACTATTCATTTTTTGCTCTGATTTGATTCAATTGTATTCATTTCAGGAGCTGATGGGCCAGCTGGAGCAGGAGGTTACAGTAGAATATGTGAGGAGGCTCCTGAAAGGAAAAGTAAAACTAAAGGACAAGATGCAACAGCTGAAGGCCTACCTGACTGTGAAGGACAACGCAGAGAATTTGCATCATTTATTCGTCCAAATGGTGAGAATGGAGCACAAAATCACTTATTATATTTTACCCCAAACTCATTTTTGGTTGTAGTTCAACATCAGAAATACCTGTACTGACAAGGGCTGTAGCAAAAAGTTTGAAGTTTAATCAGCAGTTTTTTTTTTCTGTTAAAACCTGGTATTTCTGCACAGTTGCAGATAAAGATAAGGCTGCACTAGTATTCTTAGTATAACACTTTTTTTGGTTTTACATTCCAGTTCAGGCAGCACATAATTGTTTCCAGCTTGTGTGATCAAAATATTTCCAATAACTCCAGAGCACTGTCAAGTCGAGAAGTAAAAATATAGTGCTTCAATCCATATTTCCTGGCGTTAAAGTTCCAAAAAAAAACCTTAAAGAGTTTGCTCTCAAGCTTGCTGCACACACTGATGACTTAAATTCATTAAAGAAAGTTCATTTAATAAACAAATGACGGACTAATGTTATCCAATTGATCATTTAATTCAAATTGAGGATTTAGTTATTTGGATTTTTTGTTGATTTTTGATATCTGCGTGTTTTTTTCAAGTGTTCATTGGAAAACCTCAATTCGAGATTTGATTGTAAAAAAAAAGGTAATTGGGTTTAGCCTTGAGCTGACCACAGTGTGTGATAAATAAGTTATTCAGGGAAACTCCACAAAACCAAAACAGATCAAATGTTTCCAAAAACAATCGGCGTGTAGATCCCTCTGAATGATGTAAGCGCTCTGTCATCACAGGGATCAGAGGAGGATTGGTTGAAGGAAATCCTGTTCAAGATTGCAGAAGTGCTGAAACTCCAGGATCTCCCCGCCATACAGATGCAAGTCGTCTTACTTGGAACTGATTACCCTGACCTCAGGTAACCTTTGCAATCAAACAATATATACAAAGCAATGTAGCTGACCTCATAAGGGCAGTATCATGCTGTGAGTGGTTTATATTAGTGGAGGATAAACAAACCCCCTGAAGGGCAAAGGACCAGGAAGTGAAAATATGTTCAGATATTTCCTGGCAGCAGGACAGCGTTGAGAGCTAAAAGTAGTCACGTGTCGGTGGAAGTGCTGTGGTGTGCCATCACAGAACTGCAGTGAAATAAGGAGGCTACAACTAATGATTCCAGTCAGAGTCAAAGATTTCCAGACTTGTTTAAAAGTGAAGCTACATGTTGACCTTAAAATTCTTATTTTAAAGGCACAATTTATAGACTTTTATACAAATAATCCCTATCATCACTTCTGACCCACTAGAAGTGTGTCAGTGTGTGTATCTGCAGACACCCTGCATGCTATCTGCCTAAATATAGCGAGGCAAATCGAAAGCACACCTTTATCTCTCCAAAATGAAAGTGTGCCAACAGATGGAGTGGAGTATAAGTAGCACAAAATGCTAATACATGAAAGTACAACTATCTCAAAACGATTGGTTGATAGGCGCCAATGGGAGCGTTGAATACAAGATTAATAATTGAAAAATGTCTTGTGCCAGAACCACTAAAGGAACGACTTAAATAATAAGAGAAATAAGCTGGCAAATGAAAACATGAATATGCTTTATTTTCCCAAAGGCTTTAAAACCTCCTGAACACGACCTCTACAACTCCTTCATGCCACCAACCTCTAACTTTTGATATTGTTTTGATTGACAGACCTCTAGTGGAGGTACATTACAGATAATGTGTTTGATTGACTTTAAAAACAGTTATGTTATCAGCTCCTTATAGCTGCCACCATTGCTTCCTTGTTGGTTCAAATAATATAGGACGCATTTATGGCTCATACAAAAAAGACAGAGCAAAAAAACAATGAAAAAAGTACTTCCCGACCTTCATTGATCAACATCTAAGTGAAATAACCTTCAGTTTCGCACCATGTTCAGGTTTCTCTGAGATCGTAATAACAAATAATGCAAGTGGGTTGATTTGTTTCCTCTTTCATCCACAGTGAAAAACATGTTTTGGCTCTGCTGAAGCTCAAGACCGACCTCACTAAAGCTGACAGGAAATCCGCCACAGACATTCTGCACACTTTGAGGGAAATAGGAAGCAACACCCAGCCTCGTTCCTTTTTCTCCCTCGTTCAGGTCAAATGAGCCATAAATCACTCAGTTATCCTCATTTCAAAGTTGGCTGAAAGGCGGGTTGTACATATCGTTTACTGTATCATGTTCTGATTATAACGAGTCGACACTGCTCTCTCGGTGTGACAAGGCTCAGTCTAAATGTTACTTATGCTGAAAATAATAATGTAAAATGAGTACTGTGTTTGAATAAGCTACAGTTCACATTATTGTTGCTGGTAAATATGGTGCTTCATCAAGCTGTGCTGAACGTTCACATACAAAATGTTTTGCATTGTTCTTTTGTTTTTGGGTAATCATTCTGTTTAAACCGAATATTTCTGCCATTAAAGATTAACTACAAAATGAATAGTATTAAACTATTTTTGTAATAATTTCAGTGGTGTTTCCGATTACTCCAGAGCGATGTCCAAAAGTAAAAAAACCTCACCCACATCTTTGAATGTTCAAAACATTACATTTGGTACAGATCTTGTGCTTTTTACTAATGAGTAACATGAATGTATATGTTTGGGAAACAAGTACTTGTTTTAAGAATCAGTTTTATAGTATTTTATTATTGATGTGTATATTTTGCTTCATCTGTTGTATATAATATTGTAAAAAGAGTGTTGAATGCAAATTCAACACTGGAACGCAGGAAATCATTGAGATTTTGTGTGGAAATACCTGCTGGGCAGAGGTGTTTCCTGTTTACTATTTCTGAATAATAATCTGCACCTCTTTAAGGCAGAGGAAGGATGTGCCTTTGCTGCAAATTACTGTCAGCATGTCGTTTTTCCCTGAAAGTTGGACTGTGTTTATGTATCCTGTGTGTGCAGGAAGACGGTCGTAAAAATATGATCATTAAAACCGGGAAATGATGAGGCTGACATTTAACTGGATGCTGTATAATGGAATACTCCATTGCTTTTCTGCTGTTTTATCAAAAATACAATATAAATGATAACATAAATATGTGGTAAGAGTACAAAAGCCTAAGTATGGTGGCCCTGAAGGTCAAAATGCAACAACAATACAAAAATGATTTTCTATTTCTAAACTTCAGATCTCACCCAGTTTAGATAAAGATACACAAACATGATAATTTCAAATAAAACTAAACTGAATTCAATACAAACATTTGTATTTGTTTCAAAACATAAAGTCCTGTAAATCACTAAGAGACTAGAAAAGCTACGTGGAACTAAATAACTGCATAGAATTAAAAGAAAATGAAACCGTAGTTCCCGGTCTAGGATCACCTGGAAAATGTTTTTTTACTGACAGTTTTAGACACTAAGTCAAACATGGACACTGTTTTTATCTCTGTTTCTTATAATAGAACTGCTCGGGTCTTGATAGATTGAGTGGGGAAGTTCATGAGATCTTTCTAGAGGGGTATCAAGAATAACTTTTATCCAATGACCTTTTCCCTCTCTGTCTGTGTCTGTGTATTCTCTTGTTCCGATTAACCCAGCCAAATCTTTTTTCTTGTTTTGTATCTATATCTACGCCGGGACCCGGAGTCGAGGCTGATCCTCTTGCTGTAGTCCTGTGTCTTGGATCCTCTATCCTGAGTTCTGGATTAAGTCGTGGACTTCGGGTCGTGGCTGAACCTGTCTCTGCGGTCCTGCCTTGGGTCTCGTCATGCTGCTTCCCTGATGGCTTCCACAGGATTGTAGCTGACATCCTCGTGGATTAATCTTCTTATTACAGACACATGCATTTCCTAACATTCGGTCTATATGCTGTAAAATGTATTATCTCTTCGATTTACACACGGCATCTATTGCACGTCTGTCCGTCCTGGGAGAGGGATCCCTCCTCTGTTGCTCTCCCTGAGGTTTCTCCCATGTTTCCCCTTAAACTGTGGGTTTTCTCTGGAAGTTTTTCCTTGTACGATGTGAGGGTCTAAGGATAGAGGGTTTCGTTTTTCTCATACTGATATTCTGAACAATCTGTGCTGTTGTATTTGCTGTAAAGTGTCTCTACTGTAGGCTATTTTTATTTTATGTACAGCACTTTGGCTCGACCAAAAATCGTTTATAAATGTGTTATATAAATAAAACTTGATTTGATTTGTGTTCAGTAACCAGGACAACCTCTCTCATCAGCCTTGATTATAAGTTTTTGGAGATTCATTTTGATAAGGACAGCGCATTGGGGCCCTTAAAGTTCAAGAATGTAATCAATTAGAAAGATTAGATAGAATAGTTAATGCTAAAAAAAAAAAAAAAAAAATTATTTTAGATAACATGAATTTGTTTAAATACTCTTTAGATCCCTACATCGATCAATAAAGCAAATGCTCTGACAAAAGGGAAAACTATTTAGTTTCTAAGGCTGTCGCAGGACTATAAAAAGTTGGTCCAATCATTTTATTTGGCCTACAAAATAGTGAATAAAAAACAATATAGCCAATAAAAGCATTGGTCTTGTGTATTTGACGGTGCAGGTAATGGCCAATAGTTTTGACCACTTTAAGACATTTATTTTAGACAAAGAGATAACAAAAAAGATTCATGCCTGTTTCTCTATAAATCATATGACCCCTCACATTTATCTTGTGATCCATTGAAGCGTCCCGCCCCCAGAACAATTTCTCATAAAGTTAAATGTTTGTACATTGATGTTAGTCTCCATCTAGTGATTATATAATGAAAACACAACCAACATTTGTTCCTGTTATTTTTATTTAATTCTTTTTTTTATTTTTTCTACAGCAAAAATACCCACAAAAAGCGTCCGGTACCGTTACACAAATCAACAGAAATCTTACTTTTTAATAAATCCTTCTATTAGATTTGTATGTTATTTATTAAACATTGTTTGATTGTCCCTGTAACCCAAACTGTAAGCTCCTAAACAAAAACATCACCACGAGAATACAGTACATAAGATTGTAGTGCAGCAAATCAGCAATTCAACTCACATTGAAGCTGAAAATAAGATACAGGAATAAAGAGGGAAAACAATCAAACAAAACAATATTGTACAACTCACACACAAATAGTTTAGTGGAATGCATTATTAAAACATTTAGCAGGCAGAAATAAGAGTAACCAACATCTGTACCCTGATTGTAAAAGCATTAAAAAGAAAATAGTAGCAAAAAAAGTTTGAGAATAGATTTCACAGTTCAAGTGTAAATCAGAATGGTTTGAGTAGCTAAAGCAAAATACATTTTTAACAATAACGTTTGATACTGTATGATTGACTCTAGTTTCTGTTAAATATAAATATGTTCATATAAATAAATAATTTAATATGTATTAAATAATAATCAAATATGAACATGATAACGGAGAGGCAGCATATTTTTTTGTGCAGTTTAATTTCTTTGACATTAAGTTTATGGAAATAAAAGGACATAGACTAAAAATGTTCCGTTTCATAAAGTATGAAACACAATTTAACTGTTCCACATAAATATTCTAAATATCTTAAATCGTAAACAATAATAACAATCTATAAACCCTTCAGTTTTAAAGCAGCGACAAAGAAGGTTCATTTTGTAGTGATTTAGGTGCCCCCTGTGGACAGAAGCGGTAGTGTTTTCACCCATGAGCACCTCCCTCGCGTGATTTTTAATCTGGCAAGCCGATGCATTTTATTTTTTTACAATGATAATAAACAAATAACGTCTTGCAATGTATTTCGTGAACAAACTCAAATTTGAATCGTGCGTGCTTACAACTGTACCTATATTATTTTATGGATCGTTGGTCAATTCTTCCCTTCTTGTCGTTCCTCATTCGGTCTCTTCATCAGCCATAATTGCATCATATATTGTACAAAAATCACTAAAACTCTCACCTAACTTTCTTACAACTCACTGCCAAAGGTGACATGTTTCGAGAAGGGTGTCCAGGAAGGTTTCTGAACACTCAACTCTGTCATCTTTGCTTGTTTCGGTCGATCCTCTTGTAAAGCAGCGCATCCTTCACCAATAAAAGCACAAGAACCAGGAAACAGATCCTGCTCTGGGTTGATAGTTGGGGAGCTCCTTCAGGATGTCCTCCAGCTCCATAATCTTCCGTTTAGAAAGGCCTTTCCATCGCAGCAGGGAGGGCAGGATCTCCATGAACTCGCTGTGAATTAAAATCGTTTTTTTAGCATCAATCTTTTTTTTTTTTAAATACCAAAGTACTCATGGATGGCCCATTTCAGAATAAATTCAAAAGCCACATTATTGGACAGCATTAAGAAATATAGGTGTAAAAACGTTTGAAAGATGTACCTCCACGTGTGATATTCGTGATGCATCCTAGCCACTGTGAGCTTTACAGCATCGAAGCTTTCACACTCGTCCAGTTCTCTGACACTGAGCAGCATGAGGTGCCACTGTTCCACACCAGGAGCCTAAAACAAAACATCACAGGTCAGGCTCTACGCGGTAACCAGAGCAGATGTGATCCTGCTGCTGGTGAACGAACTTCATTATGACAGAAAAGAGCACTTACCAGCTTTGAAAAGGTTTCCTGGAGAATTTCAGCATCTTGATTGACTGTTCGGCCAACATCAGGACTCCAGCACCTTAACAGTTTGTTCTTACTTCTCTGGATAAAATGCTTGAGGTAAAGGTAGGTGACGAGCTTGTAGGCCTCCTGCACCACTCTCTGAGAAACACAAAGAAGAACAAAAGCATTAAGATACACATATGAGGAAACAAAAGCCTGCATAACTTCATGTTTTTTATGATTCATTCATAGATCAACGACAATAGGTTTTACACATTTTCCTCAGCAAATATCTCTATTTCTAGAAATCCAAAGTGAAGACTTATGCCAAAGTCTTAATTCGTATTATATAAAGGGTTGTGCATTATACACAAGTACTTTAACTAAATGCAGAAAAGAGAAATGGGAAAGAATTAGCTAAATATTGATATTTCACATAAATTAGGCAGAAATTATGAATAACTGTTCATAGAAATAAATCTTCTTTAATTAAAAACAAACACTCTTAAGGAAATAGGAAGCTTTTGTCATTGTCAATGCAAATTCAACAATAAAGATTTGAATGGGGGGATTCAAGACGTACCATTTGGACGCCCTGGAAGCCCTGCAGCTCTGAGAAAAGATGCTTCAAGTCCAGGATCAAGAGGAGAAAGTCCTTGTTCTCCGATTTGAAGTATTTCTTAAGGTACATCTGTGATTTAACAAAAATATAAACATTAGTTTGATATATGCATAAATCATAATCCATGTTTAAACATGTAACGGCCCGTCCACACAGCGGCGTGCGTTGACGCTTCACCATTCACTTTGAATGGGGTGACGTCACTTTGCACCGAACTGCATCGTGGGAAGCGACGCGGAGCGTTGCTGGCGTGGCTCGCTGCAAAAGTTGAGCAATGTTCAACTTTTGACGCCTCGGCAGAAGCGTCAGCCAATCGAATCATATGCCAGTACAAGCTCTAGCCAATCAAACCGCTGCTTGTGTGTCAGGGGCGGGAGATTCATGTGATTGGTTGTTGGTCGAGTTTCAGACACGCCCGCCGGCAAGCGTCAACGCACGCCGCTGTGTGGACGGGCCGTAATAAAACATTATATTAGTGATTAAGTTGAATAGATACCTCTGTCATGTCAGCTGTGATTTCCTTCAGGACTTTCACAGTAAAAGTCTCCATGTTGTCAAGTACAGCCAGGGTTTCATTGAGAAGGGATGTTTTGAACTTCTTTCTCTGGATGTACTGCCTGAGAGGAAAAATCAGAGGAAAATAAGTTAAAGGGCCCATGTCATGCTTTTCCGGTTATTACCCGTCCCCTTGTGTGTTATGAAGGTTTTTATGCATGTAAATGGTCTGCAGAGTAAAAAACCCTCAAAGTACACCCTGGAGCGAGTAAAACTCTAACACAGCTCCCCAAAACGCCTCGTTGGAGATTTCTCCTTTTCCAATGTTTTCTTCCTGGGTATCGTGACGTGCCCTTACCCAAATGAACAACAAATTACCAGCGCAGCACCTCTAACACCAGGATCCCTTGGCGTCACTATCTCGTCTACTACAGGGAGTCCCATTGACTTGCATAGAGCTCCCTGAACGCTGGTAATAGACGAGTTGGGATTGCGGCGAAATGCTCTCCGGTCTCCGCAGACCCATTCTCACAGTTCTCACATTCTACATTTATTGTTTTTACTTCGGCTGTGAGTGTTTGTGTGTGCTCAGGATGAGTTTCGCTTGTTCTCGCTGTATCGCCGACACGGAAAACACACCGCCAGCGAGCTCACACTGCAGCAGCGAGCCTCGCAACGTCCCAACCAATCAGAGCACACTGGGCTCAAAGGGGGGGGGGGGCAGGAGCTCCAACAAGCCGTTTAGGACAGAGTGAAATTCAGTGAATACAAATACAGAGATGCTGTATGAGAAACCAACGTGATTTTGGAAAATTGCACAATTTAAATCTATTCCAGTAGACCTCAACAATGGAATTATGATCAGTAGAAATGGCATGGGACCTTTAACTTCCTGAAAATACTATGTAACACTCACGCTTCTATTGGATAGCACTTCAGTCTAGTACTAGGAGCAGTGGGCAGCTATTGTACAGCGCCCGGGGAGCAATAGGAGTGAGGGGGGAATGGGGGTGTCCGGTGCCTTGCTCAAGGGGCACCACGGCAGGGCAGGAGGTGAACTGGGACCTCTCCAAGTAGCAGTCTACACTACATATTTTAGGTCTTGTCGAGGACTTGAACCGGCGAGCATACAGCTCCCAGTCCAAGCCCCTACTGACTGAGCCACTGCCGGACCCCATGGAGACATGTCAAAAAATTATGAAACCTAAAAATTAGCCGAAAAGGTCCCCTCTTACTTGATTTCTTTGCAGTTGTTCAAAGTCTTGAAGAAATCTTTGATTTCTGGTTTGTCCACTTTTGCTTTTTTTTCAAGAATCTCAGTCTGCTCATTGGTGTACCTACAAAGCAAATAAAAAGCCATTGTGATTATTCATGCTTTAGGTACTGGTGTTAATATGTGTAAATAAATCAGTAAATTATTCTCACTGTGTCAGAAAATTCAGCAGCTCTTGGAAACAGACATCCTGCACGCGGCCAGACAGTTTTTGGCTGATTTGTCTCCCTGCCTCGATCATGGCATCAATGCACTGAAAGAGAAACAACAACAACAACATTTTTCAAGATACATTGGAAATCAAATTAAAAAGTAAATAATACAATTCACTATTTAATTATCACATTTTATAGTTACAACTAGATAGATGTTTCAAATAATGTACTGAAAAAGACAGTATATAGGAAGTTATACTTTATTAATAGACACATGCACACTAGTCCTTTCTATAACTCTCATAGTAACCATAGACTTTGTACCTGGATAGTGTCCACATACAGGTCATCTTTGACAGTTTCTTTGTCTCTCTCATTCTGCAGGATTTTCTCCAGGAACACTTTGACCTCGTTCTGTGCAACAATAGGATGACAGAATACACATCAGAAGTGTTCAGCAGTGTGGTTGTAGTGACACTGAGTAACAGAGAAATGAATGCATAATTCATACATTTGCTGTCATGATCCTGGTTTTGTTTACGGTTTTATTTTTAAATGTATTTCCTCCTGTCTTGTCTTGATTTACTTCCTGTCTATGTATTTTCCCGCCTGTTTGATTCTATTCACCTGCTACCCTTTGTGTTTTTGCATGCCCCCTCCCCCCAGCTGTGTGATGTCTCAGTCCTATGGGTATACAGTATAAGCATCTTCCCCTGTGATCTCTGGTGGTTTGCTCTCTTTGTTCCCGTCTTCCTTCTTTCAGTCCTGCCTGATTTCCCTGTGTTATTCTTGTTCCTCGTGCCTCTCTGGTATCTACTCGTTAAGTTTTTCTTTGTTTTTTATAGGGTTTTTTTACCTTGCCTAGGCCCCCGGTTTTTGTGTGAAACTGTTTGTGTTATCAGCTTCATTTTTTAAAAGTGCACTTTTTGTTCATACCTGCCTCAGTCTTTTTAATTGCATTTGGCTGCAAACTATAGCCAAACATGTACATTTACATAATTCAGTATTCTTACCTCCACATTTTCAAGTAGTTTGTCCTTTGCTTTTCTCACCCACTCGGTGAACAGCAGGAGGTCGACGTTTTTAATGGGATCCATTTCTTGAAGTTGAGGATGACAGAGCATCTCCGGGCTGCGAAAGTAAAACAATAACATCAGTTATTCATTAATCTATGATTCAGAAAATATTTGTAGGGTACTTCAGAAAAATAATACGAGGACAATTCTTAAAATCTGCAAAGTGTCTCTGACCTTGCATTTCATTAAGGGTCAATAAGGGTTGCTTGTGCGATGCATTTGGATCAAAACAGACATTAATCATGGCATGTGGTCAATGTCATGAACACGTGGATCAGTGTCTATGGGTTTAAGCATCAAATGTACTTGGTTAGGTTAAAAAGTAAAGGTCTGGTACGCATTCAAGTTGAGGTATTCATAATGTTTCAGGGTCTTGATAGGATAGGTTTAAAAGAGCCAGGGAAGTGAAGTTATATTCTGAAAATGTTCTGAGACTGGAAAGGGTAATTAACAAGAAAAAAATTATAAATGTGCCAGATAAAATATTCTGTGATTTAAGTCAAGCATTTCGGAAAGATTGTTTTTTAATCAAGGGTCTCTTCAATTTGCAAGGATGGGTCCATCTCATTGCCACAAAACAAATAGATATCCAAAGGCTTAAAATGTAGAGAAAGATACCTCAGATACGTATGTAGGACCCATTTCATCAACTCAAAGGAGTTCTTGGAGGATCGGACGTTCTGCAGCAGATCATCGAGGCGAGTAAATGTCTCACGATGGTAGCAATCAATCAGACTTCCCATCAGCCCCATACGTGTCAGAGGGGAACCCAGCCTCACAAACTCGGTAATAACCATCTTCTGCACGTTCTCCAGGTACTGATGGAGGTTCTGGTCCACATCTGGAGGAAGCTTTGGGAAGTGTTGGTCCACAGATCTTTGTACGAGGCAGAGATGCTGCTGCTCTGCATTGAGCTGACGGTGTGTTGAGCAACAAAATCCATCCTCAAGTGGCACCTGAAGAAGTCCAGCGAGTTTCTCAGGTGTGATCTGTTCCTCACTCTGCAGGCGTTGTTCTTTGTGGATGTCCAAGGTATTCTGAACCAAAGCGTTTTCATACTTGGTACATGGTGCCTGTTTAAATCCTGTGAAAAAAGATTGAAATGAAGGTCAAAACACTGTAAATGAGAGTTTTTAAAACAGTTTCAGAGGAGGCTTGGTGAAAAGAAGTGAGGAAATATTACATTTGTTTAAATATCACAAAAAAGGCTTTATTGTGAGATTTGGTTGATGAAATAGTTCAGTGATGCAGTTGTGGGAGAGAAACTCCCTCTGGAGGGAACACAGGGATTTTAGCCTTTGCAGACCATTTACATGCACAAAAACCTATAACAAACTCCA